TTTTTATTATTATTATTCCATCCAGCAGTGAAGAGGAAAGGGAGAGAAAAAAAAAATCACTCACGGCAAAATGCAAATGAGCCTGGAAGCTATTACGATGCTAATGAGATTCCACCATAGAAGTTGCTGCTCCGGCATCCGGGGTATATTTCATCCATATTTGGAAAACAATTGTGTGCTCAAAATAGGGGACACACTTCCTAGTCTTTACAGTTGAGTTAGTTTTTACTTTCAGCAGGGTCCCAAACAAGCTGGAATCTGGTCAGACTTAGATAGGAGGTTGTTTTACTTAGTTTCACTGAGCTGCCATCGAAACAGCAGACTACAGCGGTTTATTTGCAGTCTTACCATCATGTGAAATACTGCTCTATTTTTAGCACTTCTTCTGTTTCATCATTGCTTGTCAATCATCAGCAAAACCCTTTTTATTAATATCACAATCAAACTTCTTCTCCTGGCGTCAAAATATCACAAACAATCTGCATGTTGGCACATGTTTCCCTCAAAAAGCCAAAAACAAAACAAAAAGGCAAATGAGTGTGATTGTTTACACCAGCAGCAGCTACATCAAACACAGCTACAACTTTATGTGTTCACGCTCTGCTGTGACACAGGATAAGACGTGTTCCGGGTTCTTCCGAAACGGGAGCGTCGCCGGTGCGTTCAGGTGCAAAACCTGTAGCACTGCTTCTAGGGTGTGTAGTTTGTGCGCTAAAGGCAGGCAGGTATAGGGAGATAGGGTATGTTACCATAGTAACACCAAGAGGGAACCCAGCAGAAGCAGAGTGTCTATATGTGTCCTGACCCATTTCCATTCTCATCCACAAGTGTTTTGTCTCCTTCACCTTGCTGTTGAACAACTAAAAGCACCTCCATGGTGCAAGAAAACATAAAATACACAAAAGAATGGAAAACAAAGTAGAGGATACTAAAAGTAATAAATAAGGAATATTTTCGTCTGTGCTGAAATTCAGTAAGGCCCCCTCCACAAAGAGAGCACAGACTAGAGTTACACTAATTAATAGCTGCAGAATGAAAATAGTTGCTCACGCATATTTTTCTATTTAGTGGACTAAACCTTGTGTAACTTCCACCCCAAATTATCATTCTGGTAAGTTCAGTATAAGATAAATTATACATGCCTACTGTAAATATAACAACATAAATACCACATTTATGTCAAAGGTGAGTTAAGAACAGGATTGATCAGGTACAAAGTGATTAAAATCTGGGACTCAATCAGCATCAGAGCAGTTTTAATGTAGAAATTAAGTTATTACAAGATTCAAACACAATCTATCTATCTATATATATAATATATAATTACTTCCTAACAGCTGTTAACTGTAGTTTTAAGGATATGTTATTTAAATGGGAGTTATTTGTGCATTTGTTGAGGACTACTTTTAGCAGCGGATTAATACACATTTGGTGCTCTAGTGAGTATTTAAGGCAGCAGGACGGTGTATGTAGGATTGTCTCAAAATAAACGACAGTGTCCATGTTCATATTAATGAAGGAACGCTGTGGCTCATTAAGGTAGATTTGGATGACAATGGAGCTCTATGGCGAGAAGAATAGGATATATCGGGCTTTGGATACACAGACAACACTTGTTAGTTGGATCAAGTCATTGTTGGTTTTGGTCTTTTTATTTAGTATCACCAGCCTTATCCTTTAATAAATATGTCAAGTGATGAGTGGGTCTAATTTTAATATCACACTGTTGTTGCATGAAAATGATTTTTCCTGTTACCGTCCTGGTGAAACAGTTCATCAAAATTTGTATGATTTTAAATCATGTTTTGAATAATAGTGTTTGTGTGCGTTTTCAATGTAGAACATCTGGGAGAAGAGCCACTGTGGGCTAAAACAGAAAATCTTCTTGCCAGTCTGTTCACAGAGAATCATTCTGCTGTTCATCACACAAATGGGAGAAACTAACTTCACATATAGGTCCTGTTTACGATCCTCTGTACAATACAAATTTATATTGAAATCTGTTAAATGAGCTGTTCACTTCAATGTACTGTATTGCAGCCACACTCGAGTGGTAAGCGCTTTAGGCGAGCAACCAAATCCTGTTAGAAATGTCAATTGAAAAGGTCTTGAGATATTAAAAATGTAGTTTTTAATTAAAGGTTTATTAATAGATTTTTCAAACTTTTTTTTTAATTACCCGACCGGATGCCTGAGGCATTTGGATTACAACTTTTATCTCACTCGATTCAGACTGCCTCTCCCCATTCAGCCATTTTGGATTAAAAGTCAGACTTCATAAATGCTGTTCATTAATTCCCAGTGCGGGCAGTTAATGTGAGATTCGGTTGCAACGTTACGGCTGGTCTGAGTGTCTGTTTATTTTTAGATTCTTGTGGCTACTTTGCAGCTCAGGCCTAATCTGTCACGGAGGAGAACATGGAGGAAATCTTAATCGGTGTGCCAAAAAAAGATTTCCAATGCACTCTGGTGTGTCTGGTTTGGAAATTCAACATGTTAGTGACACATTCTGTCACAGTAAATGATGTTATTCACATGTGTTGCATGGAACATAGTGTAAAATTGTTGAAATAAATTAGAACCAGTCTGTGTTATGCTGTTTGCATGAAGTGTTATTATCATGCATGCATGCCCATGTGTTGTAATATGCAAACTGTTATGATTTGAACTATAGGCAACAAGCAAACTGAGTGCATGTGTGTGCATACATTTTTTGATCTTACTGTAGATTAATAAATGTATTAAAAATGTGTAGTATAAGTATGCAAGCAAGGAAATCACATCAAAAGGAATCACAGGCAATTTGTTAGATTTGATGACGCACGATTAAAATTAAAAAACACACAGGTGGTGGACAACAAGTTCAAGTGTGATTGCTGAAGGGCTGCCCAGGCATTCTGGTAAATGTAGGAACTCACAAACCAAAATAGAAGCAGAAAGGAGACATGGCACATCAGGGAAATGTTTGATGGTCAGTCCAATGATAGCATTGGATTATCTTTTGATGGTGAACAGTGTAGATGTAAACAAGGTGTAATAGCTCTCATTGAAACATGTATTGCTCTGCACTTCCCAGATGACACCTGTCACTCAAACTGTGTGGAAAGAACTTTGACATCTTTGATTGGCTGTTGGTGGTTTAGGTGGCCCGTGATCAGCCATAGCAGCTAGCTGATCTTGCTAACTACCCAGTATGTATTCTGAAACTGCTCTGCTTGTGGAAAACGCTTCATTAATTGTTCAAGAAGTTTTCTGAAAAGATCTACTGTAATTAACAGTGGGTGATAAGCAAGGCTGGATTGCCATCTGGGCAAAGTGTGCATCTGCCTCGGGGCCCCCATCAGAATTCACTGCATGTCATTTTGGTCATGTCATCGACTGTAAAATATCAACTAAGGTGAGTCCTGCATTATCAGCTAATTTCGTGGCCCTATGCCAAAATCAAATTTATTTTATGCTTTAGACTGTGCACTCATGATGCATATTCCTAGTGACGTTGTGTTTGATTACTGCAAACTAACAAAAATTAAGCATTATTGTAGAATATGAACACTGGTTGTACTGCTTTTAATGTGAACTTGGAGGTGACAAGGTACATAGACACATTGCACACAAGGTGGCAGGTGGGGGGTTATAGGGGCCCAACAGCAAATTTCTGCCCAGGGCCCCATAACAGGTTAATCTGGCCATGGTGACGAGAATTATTTAACAAATACATATGTGTGTTCCTGTGCAAAAGCTGTGGTTTATTACTCATATTTCAGTTTGCATAATACTGCTGTGTGGTGCTAAAATTAGAAATGTTCAAATCTTATACTGGTTTTACAGTAAGTCTGGCGGTTCTGCAAACCACTGTGCAGATGTTCCTGAATTAAATGACATCTTTCAAATACATGTTTTGGCTTGCAAACATTCTGAGTGCCATTGTGGATTGTGGACTGCCACTGCAGCAGACGCAGCAGCAAGTATTCGCCCTACCTTCCTTTAATCACAAATTATGCCACTCGGTGCATAACTAGCCAGGTACTAAGATTCTGTCATTAGCAGCATTGACCGCAGGCAACACAATCAATACAGTATTATGAAATCATGCTACACATAAAATGGACTGTTTACTAGTGCAGCCTCATCTTTGCACTTTTAATTCTTAAAGTTCAGATACTATATGGCTCAGTAAGGAGGAAAAATACTGAACTTTTTTTTTTTAAGAGCAGATCTTCCTTCGGATCCAGACAAGGTTAGTCGACATATTATTTTAAATCTGAGACATAAGACATGCAGGTTTTAAAGTAAACCTCTTTCCTTTTTAAAGCAACTATTATACTACTACTAGTTATTTCTTGCAATTTCTGACCAGGTGGCTATCTTTTAGTCTTTCCAACACAAAAGTCAGCTTGCTGCAAGAATCCTGATATCTCTTAATACTGTTCACACTGAAGATATTTGACCCTTAGTTGCAGCAGACTCTCTCCTCTTTATTCAGGATTTAACTGTGCACACAATAGCTTCAAAACATGACCAAAAGCAATATCTGTAATCAATATTGCTTCTTAAATACCTAATAGTGCTGATATGCCACAGAGTCCTTATTCTAGTCAATACAATAAGCCCATGTTTTCAGATCAGACAATGTAACTGATCTGTGTGACTTGTTTTATGCGTGTGAATCCATCTCATGTGAATATTAAGTCAAAAGTCTTCATAGTTACAGTCTCGGTGCATGTAAACTAAAACAATGCATCACTTTAGACTAGAAAACACACAAGCAAACACACACACACACACACACACACACACACACACACACACACACACACACACACACAGAGAGAGAGAGAGAGAGTCTTACTTGAACTTTGCAAGAGTGCAAAACTGAGTGTAGGTCTTGAGGGAACAGGAAACGACTTCCCTCCTCCCCCTTCAATTCTGCCTCCCCCCCTCCCTTCCTCCCCCTCCTCCGCTCCTCTCCTCTCCTCCCTCCTCCCTCCTCCTCCTCCAGCACCACGCTATAGCAGGGAACTAGGCAGGCCAACTTGCAGAGTGCAGCTCAGCCTCGACAGCGGCTGCTTCCCACTGGGGGTCTTCGGAGAGCATCGCACTCCCATGTGCGCTGCCGTGCCCGTTGGATGTTGAAATCGCGCCGTGCGCCTCGCCAGGAGCCACCATGTCCAACCCAACCCACGACCCGTTCTACTCGTCTCCTTTCGGACCCTTCTACAGGAGACACTCGCCCTACGTGGTCCAGCCCGAGTATCGGATCTACGAGATGAACAAGCGGCTGCAGGCGCGCACAGAGGTGAGCCGACCGGAGATAACCACCGCTCGGGTCCTGTTGAGGTTGCGGTACCGGTGGGAGGGTAGCGGTGCTGTGGAGGTCCGGTGCGGGGAGGAGGGAAGGGATGTATAGGGTCTGGACGGGGAGAGAGGGTCGGCATAAAGGTCTGTCAATCAGGAGATGTGGATGCCAAAGTGCCAAACATTCCTGAGGTGAAAGTAAACAGGCTCCGGTGTGTGTAGACTACGCTGCAAGAAATATCATCCTCTGAACTCATCTGTTGTAGTCCGAAAAGCTCCAATTTAAGTGGGGGAAAAAAAGATGATATGTGGATGAGATGCTTTCACGTGGCCGGTTGGCTTGTTTAAAATTCATTGACTTCAAGTGTCACCTCGTCTGATATGAGTTGACTGATCCACCTGAAGCAGGCAGCACTTGTTATAATCAAAAATAACAAACATATGAAATTATCCGTTTTAAGGTTTCAGTCAAGTTTTGAGACACAGCACTACACTAAGATTAAGATGAACACTTTATTGCGCCGTTAAATATTTATATAGAAAGTTGTATATAAACATAACACAGTAAGGAAGTGAAAACGAAAATGTTTGAGAGACTGTACAAGTCTAACCAGGCTGTATAGACTCAGGCAAAGTAGCCCTTTCACGTGCATTTAATTTGCATACATTTACATATCGCCTGGTTTTTACATATTTGCATACTGTGTTTAGTCTGTTCGAAACTGCAACAGCTAAAGCCAAACAAGCCCAACAAGAATGTAGAGTTTGTCCACTGTGGACTGGTGAAGTGTTTGTGGTGTTACTGTTAAATTAAGTGTTCATGGAGTGGCAAGAGGGGTGGCATGGAGACTTTAAGGGGTGGCAGGAATATGTATACAGTATGTGAGTGTTGGAAAAGCCCCCAAATGGAGAACTCTATAAAAAAATATTACATTATTGTGGCATGTTAGTAAAGCATTGAATAGAAATGTCTAATGGTGGCATTAGAAATCAATATATCTTAAGATCTTTTTCTAAATAGTCTTTTTTATTGAATTTAAGCCTATCACTTAAAAATGTGTCATTAAATTAATTTCTGTTATTTAACTTGACATTTTCTGACAGCATTTGATACCAAACTGGGGTGGCCAGGTATTTTTTTAGGGGTAACCACTGGCACCCTTCTGGATCCGCCCCTGGGTTCATGATTCATCACTGTGTCCGCGGACAAAGTTTTCTCAATGAAAGTAACCCCCTTATTGCAAAATAAGATGATCGTAACATAATTGCTGGAGGGTAAATTAATTTCATGTCAGTTTCCTGATGCTTCAACTAGTTGGGCGCTCAGCGAGTGTGGCGTATGGTGTCATTCAGACTAAACCTTTGGTGATCCCACTGTGAATTATATAGCAAGCATCTGCCTTCAGCATCTGTTCTGTGATCACAAATGTGTAAATCTGCAGATAAACAGTTCATCCAATATGTCAGGTTCTCCTCGCAAAGGCATCTTTAGGGGAATAGATGGCTTTTTTTTTTAAAAAGCATCTTTTAGCAACTGTTGACTTTTTGACAATTATAAATGTTAGGGCTACCACTAAGGATTATTTTCATTATCTATTAATCTACCAACTGTTTCTTGATTTATTAATAGATTATTTCATCTCATGATAGCAAATAGCAAAAAATGCCCATCACAAAGTCCAAGAGCCCACAGTGACCTCTTGCTTTGTCTGACCTACAGTCCAGAGATATTCACTTTATTATCATAAAAGAATACGGAAACATAACATATTCACAGCTGAGTAGCTGGAACCAGTGAATTTAGCCAGTTTCCCTGAATTTTTCAAAATAGGTACTTTTTACTCCCGATCCATTGATTAATTGACTTACTGTTTCAGAAAATAATGTGACTTCTGTCTGCTTTTGGAGGCTACGAGGCTACAATTTGATTGCCACTGAGATATTAAAAACAGAGGTGTTTCGCTAAGTATGTCACAATTAAATAATTTGATGTGAATTTCTTTGCAGTCATTTTGGAAATCTTGTTTGAAAGCCAGAGTCCAGCTGAGTTGCTGCAGCAGCTCACAGAATGATGCTGACTTTCCCAAAGAGGAACTTTAAGCAGACCAAGGCAATGTTGCTGAGATGCAGCGGCCCAATCTGATGCATTATTCATGCGGAGTGGTCCAAAGCCCCAGTGGACCTCAACTCCCGTACCACACATACTCAGACACCAAGTGCAATCACCACGCACACTCACAGGCACACACGCACATGTAGGAACACGCATGCGCACATAGGCATAACAGGACATAATGTATGTGTGCTACCAGATATGTGTAGAGCACAAACAAACATGCAATTGATAACATACATGGACAAGTTTCATGATGTGAGCACACACACACATGTTATGTAGACACACATCAGTTTAAACTATTACCTTCATCTCCTCAGACTAAATTGTATAATTGCATAATTATATAATTAGTTTTTTATAGCATCTTCATTCTCCTCCTCATCTTTTTCTTACTTTCTTCGGCTGCAGGAGTGTATAATATGTCTTCTCTTTGGCGATGTGGTTATTGTTTGATTAAAATGCAGGTGGTGGATATAATGAGGAAGAAGTAGTGTCTTATAGTGGGAAATAAATGCCTCTGGTTTTTGCAATTTGTTTGTGTCCAGATGTGCCATACTGCTCAGTTCAGGCTTTTAACGAAATTATATAGCAATTATCCTCATGAATGCAAAAGTGTAGCCATCAATTTACACAAACCTATTGCATGATGTGAAAAATATTTGAGGCAGAGATAAAAGATTGTAATAGAAATATCTCCCTTCGCAGAACTTCATATGTAATGTCTAATTGTCTCTCTAAGACAGAGAAGGGAAATTGTGCAAAAATATTGTACATGCTTCATGAAACAGGCTCGCTGAAGCTGTTTCCTTCCTGTAAAGCGAGGTTAGCTGCTGGTCCCTTCATGATGATGCGTGCCTGAAGGGTCATTCCGCTGCTTCTTTTATCGCTGAGCTCCTGCTCAGTCCATCTCTTACAGGACGACTTTAAAAGTCAGCTCACATTTAGAAAACAAGACCATGTCAGTATCAGTGCAGGGTCAGGATGATGTTGTTACAAAACAGGAAGTTTGGGATGTTTCTTGCGCCGACAAAAAAAATCTGGATTCCATTAGAAGAAAACAGCTGAATTGTCCTGCTGGATAGTTTCGTGAATATTTCATCAAGGTTTTGCTGCTAGCGGCTGTTGCAGATCCATATCCTTCTTTGTTTGATAGAAACTGCTGGCATTGAGCTGCTGCTTCATGGAAGTATCAGTATCACTAACTCACTTTTGAAAATATATTACAATGTGAACCCTTGTGAGTTGTTGACATTGGCTTTACTTCCTCATTGTTTCCTATCCCACACACTGCTGTATGTCTCGGTTTATACATTTGATGAATGTGCAATGATAAAACATTGTTATTAGACCAAATAAGGAAATACTTCAAGTTTTATATGGGCTATGCATGAACATATTACTATTTTGTTTGCCGAAAAGTTATCCACTGACAAAAAGATGTGCCGTATGTTATCCTACACAGAGACATACTAATGTTTTTGGGCAGTTAGACTCAACAACTAGAACAAACTGTTACTCCAATAACAGAAGTACAAAGAGACTTATTTGGGATTTGGGAGGATAGTGCTGCATGTAAGGTACTACAAACACCAACACCAGATAAAGAGCATGTGAAAATTGTATGTTTTACAGCTGACACAGAAATAATGGTGCATTTGTGTAGTGGACTTTGGAAATTATGCTCATAAGCCATTCTCATGAAAGTATCAAGGTGATAATACAATGTTAAGTGTGTTTTTGAGCTGTTAAAAAGGGCAAACAGAACATTAGGGTTAAAGAGAAATCCTAAAATATGAGCAGGGGCTTCTATTGTTGTGTTGTTGTTGTTGTGGAAGACAGAAAGTATATCAAACCAATCCAAAGAACACATAATATGGAGCGCTTCTGTTGGATTTTAGTGTGAAGAGACACATTTAAGCCATTCTTTGACTGAGGTTGTTGCTATATTTTGTTGATCCAGTCAAAATGATTTCAAGCTTGCAAATAGCAGGTCTTGTCAGAACTATCACCCAAAGTAAAGATGCTTAATATTGTGAAAGGACGGCCATTGTTAAGGGTAAGAATAGCTCCGAGCCTACTTAACATCGTTCTTGCTGGCAGGCCGTCATTGCGAAATGACTCACTATCGTTTGCATTCCCGTCGTTCTGAGTCATTTCTTAACCAAGGAAACTGACTAAGCCTCAGTATGATACCACCTTTTAGGAAAGTGTTGAAGAAGTCGAATGAAGTCAGTCCTCTGTTAAAAAGTCTTCCGTTTGTCTTATTCATGAGTGTGCTTTTGAATTTGCTTGGCTGGTGGTGCAACTGCCGCTCGCACTGGCAGGCATGGGACTCAAGGACTTGACACTTGGAGGAGACTTACCCCCAGAGGAAGTTGTAGTCTCTATGAGTTTAAGTGACATCTATAGCAAACGCTTTATGCAGTTAATCCTCCGGGAGTGAAATAACACGCTGTTAGGATTAGACAGAGACATGTTATCCTGTTTTTACTCTTGATTTCAGCATTGTTGCATGGAACTTTTAGTGGACAGTGTTTACAGCATCTCTCCTCTCTTGAATAATTTTTAAAAAAACAGATAAATTAACTTTACCAGGAAAAAAAATCCACCCTCAGATGCTTTTGTGCCATTATAGACAGTTAAGAGTCAGTTTGGTGATGTTCAGTGCATTAGAGAGGTTGTTTTATTGTGTTTTGTAGTTTAATCTTGGGTGTATCTCATCTATATGTCTGCTTCCTACAGCCCCCAGAATGAGTTGTGTGAAGTGTTTGCTTTGAGCTATGAGGTGTACCTGTAGGTGGAGAGAGCTGCAGTTTAGCATAGGGCTGTTACTAATGATTATTTTTATTTTCTATTGTATTAATATTTCCTCAATTAATCTT